GAAAAACTGACTGGTGTTGTGGTGGACACCTGTAGTCTCAGCTACTTGGGAGGCTAAGGCAAGGGGATCACCTGAGCCCCAAGGGGATCACCTGAGCTAAGATGCCACAACACTTTACCCAGGGCACAGAGTGATACTCTGTGTCAAAAAAAGGCATAGAGGAGATAAAAGACCCGAATATATATACTATCTACAAGAAATCCTCTTCACCTGTATATACACCCAGAGACTGAAAGTGTAGGGCTGCAAAAAGATATTTTATCCAACTGGAAACTGAAAAAGAGCAAAAGTAGGTTACATATTAGTTATATTAAAGTAGACAAAATCAAAGACTATAAAGAGATAAAGAAGGTCACTGGGGCTGGGAGTGGTGGCTTAGGCCTGTAATCCCAGCACTTGGGAGGCCGAGGTGGGTAGATTGCCTGAGCTCCCAGGTTGAAGACCAGCCTGAGCCAGAGTGACACCTCATCTCTAAAAATAGCAGGGTATTGTGGCAGGTGCCTGTCATACCAACTACTTGGGAGGCTGAGGCAAGAGAATCACTTCAGCCCGAGTTTTAGGTAGCTGTGAACTGTGACACCACAGCACTCTACCGAGGGCTACAAAGCAAGACTCTGTCTCAAAAAAAAAAAGAAGGTCACTGTATAATGATGATAAAAGGCCATTCAGCAAGAAGATATAACAGTTATAAATATCTGTATACCAAACACCAGAGCTCCTAAGTATATAAAGCAAACACTAACAGATCTAAAGGGAGGGATAGATTGCAATACAGTAATAATAGGGGACTTACACAGTCTACTCTCAGTAATGGACAGATCACCCAGACAGAAAATCAATAAAGAAATATCAGAATTAAACTATACACTAGACCAAATAGTGACATTTACAGAATATTTTACCTCATTGTAGCAGAATACAATACATATCCTTTTCATTAGCACATGGAACATTCTTTTTTTTTTGAAACAGAGCTTCAAGCTGTCCCCCTGGGTGGAGTGCCGTGGCATCACAGCTCACAGCAACCTCCAACTCCTGGGCTTGAGCGAGTCTCCTGCCTCTGCCTCCCAAGTAGCTGGGACCACAGGCGCCTGCCACAACGCCTGGCTATTTTTTTTGGTTGCAGCTATCATTGTTGTTTGGTGGGCCCGGGCTGGATTCAAACCCACTATCTTAGGTGTATGTGGCTGGTGCCTTAGCCACTTGAGCCACAGGCACTGAGCGGGAACATTCTTTAGAACAGATCATATCTTGGGCCACAGAACAAGTTTCAACAAATTGAAAAAGTAGAAATCATATCAAAGGGCCGGGCGCAGTGGCTCACTCCTGTAATCTTAGCACTCTGGGAGGCCAAAGAGGGTGGATTGTCCTGAGCTCACAGGTTCGAGACCAGCCTGAACAAGAGTGAGAGTCTGTCTGTAAAAATAGCTGGGCATTGGGCAGCGCCTGTGGCTCAAAAGGGTAGGGTGCTGGTCCTATATGCTAGAGGTGGTGGGCTTAAACCTAGCCCCGGCCAAAAACTGGGAAAAAAAAAAAAAAGCCAGTCATTGTGGTAGGCTCCAGTAGTTCCAGCTATTTGAGAAGGTGAGGCAAGAGAATCGCTTAAGCCCAAGAGTTGGAGGTTGCTGTGAACTATGATGCCATGACATTCTACTGAGGGCAACAAGATGAGACTCTGTCTCAAAAACAAAAACAAGGGCAGCACCTGTGGCTCAAAGGATTAAGGTGTCGGCCTCATACTGGAGGTGGTGGGTTCAAACCCAACCCTGGCCAAAAACTGCAAAAAAACCAAAAACAAACATATCAAATTTTTTTCTGACCTTAATGGAATAAAACTAGAAATCAATTACATTAGAAACCTTTGTGAATACTCAACCACAAGGATATTAAACAACATGCTCCTTAGTGACTGATGGGACAGTGAAGAAATTAAGAAAGACATTAAATGCCTATGTTGAAAAGTAAAAAGATTTCACATAAATGGCCTAATGATATTATCTCAAGGAACTAGAGTCTTGGTGCCTGTAGCTCAAGTAGCTAGAGTGCCAGCCACATACATTGGAGCTGGCGGGTTCAGATCCAGCCCTGGACTGCCAAATAACAATGATGACAACTACAACCAAAAAAAAAAAAAAATAGCCAGGTGTTGTGGCGTGCACCTGTAGTCCCAGCTACTTGGGAGGCTGAGGCAAGAGAAT